CNTGCGTTGTGCTGCCCGCCTCGCTGGGCTTCTTCATGCTCTACGGAAAGATGGTGGAGGCGCTGCCCTCGGTGCGCTGGCGCTGGTGCTGGTGCTCGGGGCTGGTGCTCTGCCCTGGTGCTCTGCCCTAGTGCTGCGCTGCGCTGGTGCTGGTGCTCTGCCCTGGGGTCCCGAGCCGGTGCTGTGAGCTGCGCCTGGGACGGCTGCGCTGCCCGACGTCGTGCTCCCTCCCGGCCTGGCCTGACCTCTCGCCGCTCACCGCCGCCGTCCTCCTGCCGCAGCGGAGCGTGTTCTACGCCGCCCTGTCCCCGCTGCTCGCATTCTACGTGCTCTTCACCGCCCTGCTCTACCCCATGCACGCCTCGCTGCACCTCAACGGCTTCTACGCCGCCACCGCCGCCGTGGTGCCCGCCGGCCTGCACGGCCTGCTCAAGGGTGGGTTGTGGGGCAGGAGGGCGTGTGGGAGAGGCGGAGCCATGCAAGGCTGCACGTGTAGCCAGCTGGCAAGCTGCGCGTGGCCGCCGCTGCAACCTCACACCCTGCCAGGTGCCTCCCCTGCATGCCGCCTCACCCGTCACCGCCTCTCTTCCCTCCCACCCGCACCGCCACCTGCGCCGCTCTATCCCGCCACCCGCAGTCATTGAGTACTGGACCTTCTCGCTCTTCTACTGCGCCAGCGAGCTCTGGGGATCCGTCGTCATCTCCGTCCTCTTCTGGTCTCTGGCCAACGAGGTGTGCACCATCGCAGAGGCAAAGGTGAGGCGACACGTCAGCGGCAGCGCGCGCAGCGCGCGCGGGGAGGCGCCTGGCTGGTGCGATTGATGTGTGTGGTGGTGTGTGTGTTTGGATGGTGGTGGCGGTGGTGGTGGGAGGGGGGCTCGCCGCCCATGCAGCTCCCAGCAGCCCACAGCCAGCAGCGCACCCTGCGTGTTTACAGCACCTGCCCGCCTGCCCCCTGCCTAACCGGCCCCCCCGTCATTGTGGCTGCCCCCAGACTGTATACCCTCTGATGGGCATTGCCGCCAACGTGGCGCTGGTGCTGGCGGGCAGCTGGGTCAAGTGGGTGAACGCCAACCTTGTGCCGCTGGCGGGCGGCAGCACGCAGGCAAGCCATCAGCTGCCTGGGGTCGGGACAGGCAAAGGGGAGGCTGGTGCCAGGCTGGGGCCAGCATGCGGGCGGCTTGCGGCGGCTTCCTCCCGAGGCCAGCCTCTCACCCAGCGATGCACCCAGCACTACTGAGCGCGCACGCGGGCACTCACACACACACACTCCTCCCCCTGCAGGCCATGCTCAACTACCTGGTGGGCGGCATCGTGTGCCTGACGGGGGTCATGATGGCGGCCAAGTTTGCGCTGGACAAGTGAGGGCAGGGGAGGGGCGGGCACACCATGTGCCACCACCACACACCGCGCCAGCACGCTGCGCAGCGCAGCCGCCCGCACCGCGCGCCCTGCCGATCACTGCTTTCATGCTGCACGCGGCCACGCTGCCTCCCGGTGGCACCTGGCCGCGGCGCCCACCCTGCCGTGCCCACCCCCCCTGGACCTGCCACGCAGCTGGTGTGTGGGTGACTATTGCGCCATTGATGCCGACGGCACCAAGCCAACCGCCAAGAAGAAGAAGAAGAAGGGGAGCCTGGGGGAGAGCTTCGCCGTCATCCGCAGCAGCCCAAAGGTGCCGCCCGTGCCGCGACCACAGGCCGGCGCGCTGCTCCGATGATCGTCGGCGCACCCAGCCAGCCTGCCTGCCCGCCTCTCCCACGACTGCACAGCTCCGCTGCGATCCTTGCTGGAACACAGCACAGCCATGCGTCTTGACAGCTGCGCGTGGGCCCCAACCCCCCGCAGATCCTCAACCTAGCGCTGCTGGTTGTGTCCTACGGCGTCAGCCACCGCCTGTTTGAGTTTGCGTGGAAGGGACAGCTGCGCGCGCTCTACCCCACGCCCGCAGCCTACCAGGCACGCGCCGCTGCCGCCCGCCGCCACCTGCCGCGTGCCGCCTCGTGTCGTGTCGCAGCCGCGCGGGATGCTGTGCGCAGGGCAGCGGTCTGCCCTCCTTCCGGCGCTCCACCCTGCTTTGCATCCCCCGACACTCTCCTCCACTCCTCCTGTCCTCTGCAGTCGGTGCTGGCTGACGTGTCCATCGCCACCGGATACTGCACCATTGCCCTCATGCTGATGGGCAAGTTTGTGTTCCAGTGTGAGTGGCTGGCCGCATGCGGGGGCTGCGGTACCGTGGTCCTGCCAGCTCGGCCAACGGGACCTCGCGCCGCGCGCGTGCGCCCGGCCCCAGGGACAGCAAGCCCGCCCCCTGCCCTCCTGATTCCATCACGCACACTCTCACAGGCATGCCCCCCGGCCCCACCGACCCACCCCGCCTGCCTCCCTGCAGACCTGGGCTGGATTGCGGCCGCCTCGGCCACCCCCTCCATCATGCTGCTGGCCGGCGCCGGCTTCTTCGGCCTGTCGCTGGCAGCCAACCAGGGTGTCAGCGTGATGGGCATGGACCCAACAGCCATGGCGGTGGCGGGGGTGGCGGCAGGCGCCATCACTCAGGTGCGCCTGCTGGCGGGAGACAGCCATGCCTGCGGTGTGTGTGTGTGTGTGGGGGGGGAGCCGCACGGTCCCTGCTTTGGGCCTGCCTGCTGGCCCGCATAACCTCCCTCACGCCCGGCCACCCCAAGCCTCTGCACCAAGCCCTCCTGCGCCAGCATCCCTCCTCTGCCCCACTACCCCTCACCTTGA